AACAGGAAAATTTAGAAAGATAGTGGCTGTTGTTATGCAGAAATCTCATGAACCAGCATATAAATAGAACTAGAATCAGCCTCTAGTTTTATGATCCATTTGGAAAAGATCAGAAACTGGGATCGTTTTGTTTGAAATATATAAGTACGAATACATTAAGAGGGACATAAAACATTTGTATTATCAGAGAAAAAAGGTGTTTTTGGAGTACTTTAATTTAGGCAGACTCAGTTTTTATAGGCCAGTATAAAGGAAGAACTTCCTTACAGTTAGATATCCAGAAGTGTAATAAAGTGTCTCACAGTTGTGAGTGTGCCATCACCAACGGGAAAGCCAGGGTGAGATGACTCAACTGGAGATAATGCCAAGTAGCAAGCAAGTTTGTTAAGTGCCTGTACATCTAATATTTTGTCATCTTCCATGTAGGCTATGGGGGAAAGAAGTCAAGAATTTCAACCATCACAATCTAATAACCAGCCATTACTTTTCTCAGTCAGCAGTGAAAACTTGCTGCAGGAAACAAATCTGTGATGATAATCCACTGTCAGAGTACTGGCTCATGAATAAAGAAACCAAATGCTACTGCGATGAAAAGAAGAGATAAGAGTTTACTTCTTAATGCAAGTGATTGGGGAGGGAGAGAAAGCGAAAGACACAGAAATAGATTCAAAAGTATAGTTACTGGAGGATTTTTTTTAAGATGTGGAATAAATAACCAGGACAGGAATAGGGGCTGGCCCTTGCCCTTTTTGTTTTGTTTTTAAATTTATAAGAAAACATTTTTACCTCTGCCAGTTCGAATGTCTTGAGTGTGTTCCAAAAATCATTTTTTGAGTAGTTGTGAAGAATTGGTAGCAACATAACAATGATTTTAATTTTTAAATATTGTAATAAGACTGGGGTAACTCAAAGCTAAAAATCGGATTTTAGTCAGTCTCAGAGAAACCACATATCCTCAGGAAATGAGGTTGCTCAAAATACTCTGCTTCCTTCCTCTCATTCTGTTCTGAGTTCTGACTTCTTCCTTTGTCCTACCTAAAGGGAAGGGGTCCATCACATGGAAGGGAAAGTGGGAGTAGCTATTGGTTCTCCCTGACACCATGGAGATGGTTTGGAGCTACTCTAAAAGCCAAGGAAATGATAAGAGTCCACATGTAATAGTAAAAATGATTAGATTTATAGATTCAAATAGGTTAAAAATGGATTGGTGTCCCATAATACATAGGCCCCTATTATCTTTTGAGAATCTGTTGGCTTAGGTAAAGAGAACTGCGATGGAGACATGGAATATATCGGTCATTACTTCCTGTTTCTGCTCCTGTGGTTTAGGGTTACTAATACTCATTTGTTAACTGCTAGGCAACTTAGGCCAACAATCTTTTTTTTTTTTTTTTTTTTTTTTAAATTAGCAACTGTCAACTTGTTACCACTTTTCAAGTGTCTGTTCCTGACGTGTCCTTTAGTCCATCAATTCCCTAACTCTCAAATCAAATAAGACAAAATGAAGCCTTCTATTTCATAGTATTGCTTACCCCTTGATAACATCTTAACCTAATTCCTCCTGTGTTAAGAGAGGAAAGTAGAACTAGATTGTTCAGTGACTCCCACCACCATACAAAGGACTATGCTTGAGCAACCTATCTTTGCTTATTGGCAGCAGTCTGCCGTGGGAACTGTTATTTCTGAATTTTAAGAATCATGTGAAGGTCTTCATACTGGCTAAGAATCTGTACAATTAAGTGCTTATCCTCTCACGTTGTTCTGTCTGTGCTAAGAAACCATAATTATTGGTATTTCCTCAAATGTCAAAAAAATCAAATCAGTATTATCACATTAAATTTAGAATTTTAATATATCCAAAGAAATGTGTCAGTATGTTGAAATGACAACTGCATGCTCGTGTTCATTATAGCCTTAGTCACAATAGCTAAGATACGGAATCACCTAAGTGCTCATCAGCTAAGGAGTGGATAAAGAAAATGTGTTGTATGTACATCTTCGAATACTACTTAGCTTTAAACAACAGCAACAAAACAAACAAATACAAAAAGAAATCATTTGAAACGTGAACGAACTGGAGGGCATTATGTTAAGTGAAATAAGCAGGCACAGAGAACTACATACACTAAAAACACTGCGTTCACAGAAGTAGAGAGTAGATAGGGATTGGGGATAGTGACAGAGGAGGTACTGGGATGTTGATCAAAGGACACAAAGTTTCAGTAGGAGGAATAAGTTCAAGAGAGCTTTAGTTAGTAACAGTGTGTTGTACTTTTACCGGGTGTGGGGGCACACACCTGTAATCCCAGCACCCTGTAGGCTAAGGCTGGAGGCTAGTGAGTTTGACGCCAGGTTGGGTTACATAGAAAGACTCTGTCTCACAAACTAGAATTGTATTTTGAGAGTTAAGAGAGTAGATTTTGAGTTCTGTATATGTTTTCGATAGTAATCCTTTGAGGAACAGCTGGCAAACATATTCCCCTATATTGTGGTCATCTCTTTACTCTGTTGGTGGTTTCCCTTGCTGTGCAAAAAGCTTTTTAATAAGATGAGGTCTCAGTTTTTGATTCTTTGTGATAGATCATTCGTGATCGGAGTTTTTCTTTTCTTAAGGTCTGTGCCTGCACAGATGTCTTCAAGAGTTTTACCTATTCTGTCTTTCAGCAGATTTAATGTTTCTGTCTTAATGTTTAGATCTTTGATCCATTTTGAATTTAGTTTAGTGCATCATGAAAGATACAGGTCCAGTTTTAATCTGCAGCATGTTTTTTTTCCAACACCATTTATTAAAGAGGCTATCTTTCTTCTAGTGAATGTGTTTGGCATCTTTGTCAAAGATAAGGTAGCTGAGTATGTCGAGAGTTGTTTCTGTATCTTCTAATCTGTTCCATTGATCTTTGGGTCTTTTTTTTTTCTATCAGTCCCATGTTGTTTTTATCACAGTAGATTTGTAGTGTAATTTCAAGTCAGGGACTGTGATGTCCCAACAATGCCCCTGCCTTGCCTTTGTTGCCCAGAATTGGCTTTGCTATTCTAGGTCCCTTCTAGATCCAAATGAACTTTATGTGGGAATTTTGATCAGAATTGCATTAATTCTTTATAACAGTTTTGGAAGTATGGCCATTTTCACTATATTGGTTCTTTCTACCCAAGAGCAAGGGATATCTTTCCATTTTCTGATATCCTCTTAAATTTCCTTTGTCAGAGTACTGCAGTTTTCAATGTAGAGGTCTTTTATATCCTTCGTTAGATTGATTCCTAGGTACTTCTTTTTTGGGGGATGCTATTATGATAGGTGTTGTTTCCCTAATTTCTCTCTCAGTGAGTTTATTATTCATGTACAGGAAGGCTATTGATTTTTGAATGTTGACTTTGTATACAGCTGCACTACTGAATTTGCTTATTAAATCTAGCAGTTTTTTAGTGGTTTTGGGGGGGGGCTTCTGTGTAGAGTATCATGTCATCTGCAAATAATTTAATTTCTTCCTTTCCTGTCCTATTCCTTATTTCTTTTTCTTATCTTATTGCTCTTGCTAAAGTTTCCAGGATTATGTTGAATAAGAGTGGAAACAGTGGACATCCTTGTCTTGTTCCTGATTTTAGAGAGGACTCAGACCTCCCAAACTTAAAGACCCAATCCAGAAATGAACAGCTGAGGTGAACACACACTTCTCAGATGAAGAAATACAAACAGCAAATACATACATGAAAAAATGATCAACATCACTGGTCATTTGAGAGATACAAATTAAAACAACACTTGAGATTCCATCTTACCCTGGAAAGAATGTCTATTATCCAGAAATCAACCATTAACAAATGCTGGGAGGGCTGTGGGGAAAAGGAACCTTTTTCCACTTTTGAGAGTGTATATTGGTGCAAGCACTGTGGGAATCAGTGTGAAGATTTCTCAAAAAACTAGGATTGGAGGTCCCATTTGACCCAGCTATTCTCCTTTAATTCCCAGAATTAAAAATATTGTACCACAGTGATACATGTGCACACCTGTTTATAGCAGCACAATTATCATAGCTAGATCAGAAACAACCCCAGTGCCCATCAACCAAGGAATGGATAAAAAAGATGTGATATTTTTAATACAGTGGAATACTACTCAGCCATAAATAAGGATAAACTGGAGACTTTTATAGGTAAATGGGTACAACTAGATGCTTATAAGTGATTTTTTTTTTTTTTTTTTTTTGGTACCGGGAATCAAACTCAGGACCTTACACTTGCCAGGCAGGTGCTTGTGCCACTGAGCTATATCCCCGGCAACTCATAAGTGAAATAAACCATTTGCACACATAAACATCATATTGTCTCCCTAGTGTGCAAAGCTGAAAGAGTAAATGAGATCCAAAATGTATAGCAGATATTGTAAAACGGAAAGAAACTTCAAAAGGAATGAGAAACTGTGGTAGGGGAATGGAGAAAAGAAGGAAGGTAAAAGCAAAAAAAAAAAAAAAATATATATATATATATATACACACACACACACGTATATATACATATACACATATACAAGTATGTATATATGCATGTCTATACGTACGTATATATATACATGTATATATGTATATACGTATATGTATGTATACATAATAGTTAATAAGATAATTATACTCCTAATTGCTTAGTTTATTGAAAAGAAAGGTTTCTGCTAATATTGTTTGCACAATTAAAACGCTGATACCCTGTCCTCAGAGTAACAACTTTAAAGATAAAAATACACAGTGAATTAATCTTTGTTGACTGCCTATTATCTTGTTTTAAAATTTTGTTCTAGTTTTTTCTCTTTAAAATAAGAAACTTTAAAAAAGTAGATTTTAAGTGTTCTCATCACAGAAGTGTGTGAAGCTTTGCATAATTAATTTGAGGCATTCCACAGTATCATAAACATCAGAACATCATGTTGTACACAATAAAAATATAATTCTTATTTTTCAATTAAAAAAAAAATCTGACTAGCAGTGATTTAACATCTATTTTTCTCCTAGGGAAAAGTTAACCATCGGATGCCGCCAGCTGGTTGAGATGCAATACACCATGCAGCAGTGCAACGCATCTGTCTGCATGGGGGCCAGAAACAGGGAGTGGATGGCGTGATGACACGTTCAACTGTGGGACCCAAGTGGTGTGTAACTTCAGAGGAATCACATTCATCTTCGCAACTTCAGAGGCATTTGTCTTCATAAGCAGCAGAGTAACTTTTGACCTGGTCACTTTTTTAAGCCAAACCCAAGAGAAGTTTAAGAAATACTTCCTAGGTACAAAAAAGTGATTGTGGTACTGACAATCTCATTGAAGCTCTAAAACACCTAATGTATGTCTTGTGGAATAAACTGTGCACCCAGTTTTCCTGGGGTTAATAGTACCTGTGTACCTTTCTACCTTTATCCTGGTTCCAAGCCGGTATGTTCAAGGAAAAGAGAGCCATCTCCCTCGTCCTCGTAGGCAGGAGCCACGGTGGCACGCGAGGAAGGCGCAGGGTATGGTATTAGCGTCTTACCCAGTCCCAAATATGGGCATGTGACCTGACACTGACAGACCCTAAGAATTGGGACCTGGCCACGTGTTCACCACATTCCACAAATGAAATCTTGTCTGAGTTGATTTTTATGCTGTTACCTAATGTAGACCTGGTAGAAAAAACCACCATCCCACTTCCCACAGAGTAATGAAAGTAGAGTTTTGACTTCAGCTCCAACTTCCTATAGAGCCTCTCCTCTAAGCTTGTAACTTTTCAGTACTTTCTAGTGGGGAAGAGCAGGTGATCCGTGTGCCGAGTTGCCCTTAAATGTGAAGGAGCCTGGGTTTTTGGAATTAGGTGGCAGTGATTGATGTTTGCACCTAATGAAAGACAAGTGTTTAATTGACTTTGTAGTTGTACAGGAGGAAATTCTTGTTTACTGAAATGTATTAGGCTTTTGTTAACATCTAGATAAAATCAAACTTGGCTTTGTTATGAATGTTAATTTATTTTTTAAAAGCTCAATAAATAATTTATTTTCAATAAGATACTACTTTTCATTTTTCTTCCAAATAGTGTTCTGAAATGTATATAAGGTATGGTTATAAAAGTGACCTCCAATAAAGTGAACTGATTCAGGATGTTCTTTAGTAGTTGGTGTCAGATCTGCTAAGCTTTGTGTTTGTCAGGTGAGAAAACCGTACTAGCAAGTGTGGGGCTCGGAGTGCTGCCAGGGACGTGGGCCACTGAGCTCAGGAGAGCATCTGTGCTCTTCCCTTGTCTTCCCTGAGGACCCAAAATTACACATGCCCAGCTTCTTCCAGTTGTTTTACTGAGTTTTTTTTGCTCTGCCCTTTTTATTTCCATCTCCTTTTTCTTGTCTTTCATGAAATTCCCTTTTATTCCTGTCACTTTCATATTTTCACATACTTAACTCCTATGTGTATGGGCTTTAATCTGTTGTGTATGGTTCTTAACTTTATCTTAGTCTGTATGTCTTATTTTCCACTTTGCCATGTCATTTTATTTCAGCTCATTGAGATGTGCTTTACTTTTTTAGCTTTCTAGTCTTCAATTTGCTTTAAAAATGTTTTTTCAAAATTTATTTCATTCAGGGCTTCTTCCCTCTTTTGTTGTCTTCTTAGCTGATCTTAAATTTCATTAGTTTTATACTTTTCTCCAACACAGGGACTGAGGGGTCCTTTTTCTCCCACCCTGCACTGTCTCTACTTCCCAGTCAGGGTTGGAGTAACTCATTTGACTCAAGTAAGACCCACCTTAACATGTGATTTTTATTTATTTATTTATTTTTTAACGGAAGAAGGATCATATCCTTCAGAAAGGAACTTCAAACTTTTAAGATTTCCATTATTCAATATGTATAGCTAATGTGATTGGGCAGAAGCTGTAAGAGACATGGAGAGCCAGTTCCTCCCGAGGAGAAACTTTGAACACAATACCCTTGACATTGTTCTAGTGGATAACTATGAGAGCCATCCATGATGTTATTCCAGCAGCATTCCATGCATAGGTATTTGGTCCCATAGGTATTTACTAGCCCAAATTGCTGTGGAGGCTCCCATGGGCTACCCAGCTCTTGCTATATTCAGGGCCAAGGAAAAGTGACTTAAGTCTCTTGTACTTCACTAAGTTCTCTTGATAGGACTTGCATTAGGCTATTGTGACCGCATAGGATAATTTCAAATTCAGTGTGGGTCTTTTCCTGTCCGCGAAAGACCAGGTAAGAAGATAGGTTTAAAGTTCTGTTTCCTTGATATTTTGAACATTGTCTTAAGAACAGAAGTCCTTTCTGGGTAAATCCAGCTTTATTTAAATGTTGTCTTGCTTAGCTTTCAGAAGCTACATACTGTTCGTATTCCTGGCTTGTAACAACTCCCTAACTCACCTGTTGGAACCCTTTCCCTCACCATTGAGTTGAGATGATTTTTTTTTTTTTTTTTTAGGTAGGGTCTTGCTATGTAGTTCAGGCTGGCCTTGAGCTCACTGTGTAGCCCAGGTGATCCTCCTGCTTCTGTCTCCCAAATACTGGGATTACAGGTGTGCACCACCACACACAGCAGATTTACCTCTTGAAGGGAATATTCCTCACTAGTTTTGGTCAGTGTTTTTGACAAACTGACACAAAGATGACATTCTGTACCAACCAAGGTTTGACTTGAAGGCCCAAATTTGTGACATAGCTTGGACGAAAAGCCACTCAGTAAACTCAAAGCAGTACATCTCTACTAGCATTATGGGTTGTGCCTAACAGTCACCTTCTGGAGTCATGGTACCTCAAAGTGCTGGCTTTCCTGGTGTTCTAAATATTTCTATTTTACAAATATCCATCTCTATATTCATGAAGTAGTATATTTCTATCTGGCTGTTAGTGACAAGGATTGGCCAACCATGTGGTGGCATGCACCTGTAATCCCAGCACTCGGGAGGCTGAGGCAGGAGGATTGTTGCGATTTCGAGACCAGCCTGAACTGCATAGTGAGACCCTGTCTCAAAAAGACCAAAAGAATAAAAAAAGGCCACCCTAAGGATTTATATTTTGGTGGGGGCCATTAGATAGGTGTGGTTAATCTTTGTCATCTTGATTGGATTAGTAAGCCACACCTCTGGGTGTGTCGGGGTGTTTCCAGAGAACAGTTGCGAGTGGGACAGCAAACCAAGGGAAGAGACCCACTCAGAATGTGGGTGGCACATCCAGGAGGTCGAGGGCCCAGATGGAAAAGCCAGGGGAAACTCAGTCTCTGTTCCTGCTTCCATGAGATGAGATTCTGCCTCGCCACAGGTTTAAAAGCACTGAAGCCAGCTAACCATGGATTTAAACCGCAAGTCATAATCCAAGTATTTCCTTTCTCTTTTAAAGTTTTCTCAGCTGTCTTGTCAGTTTTAGAAAGCTAACACAATAGGAATCCTAAATTCTGACCTAGTTTGGGAGGTGGGTGGGGAGGGCAAGATAAAACAATCAACATGTGTTATATACATGTACCTACTCGCGAAGCTGATTGTAAACTTCATGCATTGCAAACATGTATTAGTAAAATTTTAAAATTCTGATCTAGTTTTGTTTGTAAAGTGAGTTTTTGTCTTCAGTTTAGTTCTCGTGTGGAAACACTGAGGACAGATTCTTGACAATTACCAGTCAGAAACCTGGAAGGTGGACACTCAGCTCTCAGCTACTAGCTTGGTTCAGTGTTCCTGACTGCAAAGCAAGTTCAGTAGACATTTTTTTCCCACTTGCAGTCCTTTCTCATAGCCTTTGCTACTCTCTTATAGGCTAATGGTTATGGCCTACAGGGTCAGTGAGAGTGACTCCTCACTGTGACTACTAATTAAAAAAAGGGGGTGGGGAAGGACGTCTTTTCCTTAAGCCTGCTTCTCTAATGCTTTAGCACTTTTGGTTGTAAGTGGAGAAAATCCTTTCCTTCAGCTCTGTAGGGTTTGTCAGACACAACTACATAGTATATCCAAGTTTTAGCTGCACGTGGTGGTGCACACCTGTAGCATCAGTTACTTGGTAGACTGAGGCAGGACTGCAAGTTGGAGGCCTGCCTGGGTAACTCAGATCCATCTCAGTTATTAAAGGAGTTGGGTTGGGAATATAGTTAAGCACCCCCTCCCTGGCCTCCATCTCCAGTACTGTAAAATAAAGCCCCCCTTGCCTATACCCATTAGACCACTGATACATTTGCAGCTCCCGCAGTTTTCCTTTTTGTAGAATGCTACAAACCTGAAGCCTTTTCACTTCACAGGTTTCTGATCCATTCATACTGTCCATCACATAGTCTGTAACAGTTAATTCATGCTTTTGTGGAGTGGTCGTCTGTTGCATCGTGTACCAATTTCGTAATCCTCCAGCTGGAAGGCTACTTTGATTTCCTTTAGTGATTATGAATAAACTGCTAATATTCACATACAGATTTCTGTCAGTATATGCTCCATTTCACTTTGGTACATGCCCACCGGTGTCATAGGGTGTTAGAAATCATGAAACCTTCTTTCACAATGCCTACAGTACTTCTGCAATACCACCAGTGCATCAGAGTTCCAACTGCCTTTATACCAACAATAATATGGTATTACTCATTTTGGTTTTAATTTACATTTCCACAATGGCACTGGCCATCCATTTTTGTTTGGCAGACTCCTGTTAAAATATTTACCCATTTTAAGCCTCGGTTGTTAGGGCTGGGAATGCAGCTCAGAGGTAGGGTGCCTAGCATACGGTAGGCCAAACTTTGATGACCAGTGCTGTGAAGCAAAAAGAGCCTGTTTTATGGTTTTTGCAGTACCGAGGTTTAAACCCAGGCCTTATGCATGCTAGACAAAGTACCCTACCACTGAACTACATCTCTTCACCCTTTTAGTTTTTAGATTTCAAGGCAAGGTCTGCTAAGTTGCCCAGCTTGGCCTTGAACTTCTGATTCTTTGCTTCAGTCTTCTAATAGCTGGGCATAGAGGAATACACACACCATCATGCCTGGTTTTGAGTTTTCCAAAATAAACATATAAATCCTCCCTCTGATGCTTTTTCAAGCATATACATCTAAAGCTTAGTACTTTTTTTTTGGTACAAGGAATCGAACTCACAACCTTGCACTTGCCAGGCAGGTGCTGTGCCACTGAGCTATATCCCTGGCCTTTTTTTTTTTTTTTTTTTTTTTTAAAAAAAAGACAGGCTTTATGTACTTAAAGCTGGCCTCCAACTCCTAACCCTGCCTCAGCCTCCTGATAGCTGGGATTATAGGCATGTTCCACCACACCTAGCAAGATTTAGTTTTTGTTAAACAGAATACTTGCTTTAATACACAAGATAGATTTCTGAGGATTTGGGAGCAATTTTAGTGGACAACTGGCTTTTTAAGTTATTGGTTGACTAGGTTGCATTTGATAGACGTTAAATTTTAACTAAGAACTCATTCTTTTAAAAGTATCACTGCTCAATGTATTGTGTGCCTTGATTTTCCAGGCTAAAATTTTATTACAGTACTGTTTGCTCAGTGATTCCTCTACTTCCACAAGCTACCAGCTTTTAAATACATAGCTTAATGACTGAACTTGTTTCTTACTTATTGTCTATCGTTTTAAGACTCAAGAAACTTCTGGTTTTATTATGAAGGATTATTTTGTTTTATAGCAGTTACTCTTTTAATCTACAGGCACTGAACTCAATGAAACATATATACAGGACAAAATTTGTGGTTTAGTTTTCCCAAGGATTTAACAGTGTTTCCTTTTTTTTCGAGTTCGGGAGCTCTGGAATGACAAAAAATGTTCTGCTGGGACTCTTCTCTGCCTACTTTAAGAATTCTGATGTCTGAACAGATTATAGGTTAATACCTGGTTTGTTAATTAGGCAAGGATTCCAGCATTTATCTTGTATCCCTAAGTCCAGGAATCCTCCCACCAACCATGACTGTTATATAGGGAACTCAAACATTTTGAGTAATGGCAAATGCCAACATGCACACACACACACACGACATAAAATCAGAACAGCATAATGAAAGTCATAATAAAATAAAATTCAGAAAATATAAAACTCATGCCTGAATATAGCCAATGTTGGGTTAATTAAAAGGTGTTTATGTAAGTTTTGCTAACATTTTAGAAAAATCTAGCATGTCTAATTTACTATTCCAAGTGATCCAATGTGGTGTTACTAACAGATCATTAAACTACTCTGAAACTCATCTTAAAAAACAAAACCAAATAAACCAATTTTTAAAAGTTATGCGCAAACTATACCGTTTTCTCCTTCCCTGAGGAAAAGGTAACTTCTAGATATGGGCAAACACTCTTTGGCCAGTTTTTATTTCACCTGCATGGAAAATTTATGTTCATGAAGCTTTGTTAAAACATACTTTTACCCACCAAACCCTACTTGCCACTGGTGTCGGCACAAAGTATTCCCACACGTTCTTTGCCTGGTGCATGTGTCACTTATGCTGAGAAGAAAGTTCAAGGGTTTTAGCATCCTCAACTAAAACTTTATTTCCTTGAATAGAACATACACAGATCCATGTAAAGAACAGTCATCACACTGGGCAAATTCAAGTCTGCTAACCTGCTAGTTTGAGTCCGGAGTCAAACCAGATTTTGATGATTAGTCACCAGGTTAAGAGATTTCTTGTCTTGGTGGTCCTCTGTGAAACATGAGACAAATAAGGTGGCAAGGTACCTGAGTACCGAAGTATTTGAAGAAAATATCTAATCTTTTTCCTAACCCGAGTTAACCACTGCATGGGCATCTCGTCCCAAGTGACTCATTCGGTTCCTATGTGCTTCATCTGTGGAAAAATACCTTTCTTCATCCCTTATTTCAGATGCAAGGCATTGGGTGAGTATCTCCACAAACACCTTATGGTAATTCTTACCTAGAAAGTACGTTCTCCAAAATTTGAGTAGTGAATGAATACACAGACATTTAAATACAAATTGCATGGTGCAAGGATTTCCTGCAAAGTACCTTTAATGTGTTTGCGTTCGCAGCAAGCATTAGGATGTGCTAATTTTGGCACCATAGTTAGGTGTGTAGCTACACATGAGACATCAAGTCATCCCAACCAGTATTTACCCCTATGAATAGAAAAACTGAACAAAAACATAATTCTGATACAGGCTGCATTCAACCAACATAATTTAAAGTAATTTTTTCAACAGAGGGCTTCCATTTAGAATTGTTTTATAGTGATAAATAAAAACAAATTATTTAGAAAATAGAGTACTTTACTTTTATTGGTATATATTAAATGTTTTGCTAAATAAACTATACCCTCAAGTCAAAATGTTTTCAAACCAGTGTTTCAAATGCCAAAAATCATTGCTATGTTATTGTTCAGCAACTCCATTCAAATAAAACATCGGTACTGGATTAAAGAAAATAATAAATAAAAATGCAGCTGAGGCAAATGCTAACAAGTTTGCATTCTGAACTTTTAAAGAAACACCCCACTCTGTATCTTTTAAGACTGCCACTCTGCTTCAGTAACTTGAATCTGCCGTACTTTACTTCAACAGGTAAGCACTCTGCTGAGAATATAAAAAGTTATAAAAAGGCAATCATAAAAGATTAAATATTGGTAGGCATGTCAGCTTTCTTTTAATAAAAACAAAAATAGTCATTGTCATCTATTTAAATAAGTATCTTTTGTTATTGAGTGTTCCAGTTATTGAAAAAGGGCCCTTAAAAAACCCAACTGCCTATATCTTTAAACCCTACCCTCTTGCCCCATAACAGACATTTGAGGGAAGAGCTATTTAATGTGCAAATTGGCAAAACAAATGCAGGAAAGGGGACTTCTTGAAATGATATGCCCAATCAATTCTCTGTTTATTCTTTTACAATATCAACTTCCAAAAAGTAAAATAACCAAAGAAATCTTAAAAATACACAAAACAAACCTTCATCTTTGCATTCCTTTCCAAACACAAAATGTATGTACAGCATGTTTAATAATATGCAATATGCAAAAGCTCCGTGTTGCTGTTAGCAACGTCTATACCCCCACCCACCCTCCTTATTCACAAGTGTACCTCTACTAAACACAATTACATCACTAAGCCTGTTAGTTAGAGAGGGTCTTAAATTTGTTAAAACTGGAAAATCTTTGTGTAGGGGCTCCACTCATTTGACTCTAGGTTATAGACTTCCACGGTATTCAGAAATTCATTGCCATCAAATCCGCCCACTGCATAAATGGTGTTCCCCACAGTTGCAATTCCAGCATTGCTCCTTGGTGAAGTCATATTTCCCATCATCTTCCATTCATTTTTATTTGGATCGTACATCTCCACACAACTGATAGCATGAGAGCCATCAAAGCCACCACCTACAAACAGTTTTCCTAAAAAAAGAAATGAGACAAGGTAAATTTAGAGAGGCTCAACAAACCCTTTGGCCTGTCTTTCTAAAAACAAACAAATGAAAAAACAAAAAGGGTGTTTTTAAAGCAGAAATGCCACATTGGCCAGGTGTGGTGTATGCCTGTAATCCCAGCATTTGGGAGCCTGAGGCAGGATTGCTGTGAGTTCGAGGCCAGCCTGGGCTAAAAAGTGAGTTGAAGACCAGCCTGAACTACATAGGGGGAGACTGTCTCAAAAACACCAAAGAAAAAAAAAAAAAAAGAAAAAAAAAAGGTAGAAATGCCTGTTTATTCTGTCAGAAAGTATTTATTGCCTATCTAATGTGATGAGGACTCTATAACTTAAAAACATAAAAATGAGTGAAATGGAGAAAAATCCATTTCCATGTGGAATTTAGGCAGGGTGGGGGGAAGGTGGCCACAGCGGCAAAAATTTCTTAACAATTCTTGAAGAAGTTATGACTTACACTTTCTTAATGAAACAAAAGGCACAAGAAGTTGGGTAACTAACCTGAAGATAAAGCTACTCAAGTGGAAACCTGGAATACATGTTTGCATTGGAACTTTTACATTAATCCAGTACACAGAATTAATACTTACCTGATCTCAGCCAAGTGAAATCCTAGAGCTTTCCACTGGCTTAAAAATGTTGGTATAACAATTTCCTTGGAAAGTTCTGACGACTTTCAAAGTTTGAAAAGTTATACTACTTTCAAACAAAAACCGTTAAATACTCTGACTTGGAAATTTATTTTTCTTTTTATTTTTTTTTACTGAGGATGGAACCCAGGGCCTTATACATGTTAAACAAGTGTTCTACCACTGAGCTATAACCTCTGGTCCTTTTTATTTTGACACAAGTTTTTATTAGATTGCCTGGGATGAGCTTAAACTTGTGATCCTCCTGTCACTACCTCGTTAGTAGCTGCGATTACAGGTGTGTGCCACCATGTCCAGCGAGCTTACAAAAAATTTTTATGACCTATTCTCAAATTCTTTACTTTCTCATCACTTAAACTACATTGATATGTAAAACATCCTCACAAGGTTCACAGCCAGTAGGTTACTTAAGCTTTTACCAACTGATAAACCTACTGATAAGTAAGATTCATCTTTGTTCTAACAAATGGTTAACTAAATTACTACAATTACATAATTGCACAGTAAATAAATCAATAAAATACATGTGAAAAGGCTGTGTGGACATAAAACAAAACTTAGTATTTTGGAAACATTTATATATCACACACTGAGTGAGTCTGATTTAAACACTTCTAAAAGATAAACACCTAATGCCCACTACATCGAAAGGCACATCTGCTTCTGAATTCTTAATCACAGAAGGGCCTTTACGATCATTCACATTTTGCTGGGATTTTAGAACCCTTGCCACTATTTGCCTTCACCTCTCCACAGCCCAGCACTCACCATCAAGAACAGCTACTCCAGCTCCTCGCCGAGCCACATTCATGGGTGCGATTAAACTCCAGGTGTTATTTTCAGGATTGTAACGTTCTACTGTGTTCAGACAATTCCAAGACTCTGCACCTCCGATTATGTACAAATAACCACCAAGCTCACAAACTGCAGACTGATGTCTACCTACAAAATTAAGTTAAACCAAGATTATTACTACAGCTAACAAAAACTGCGTGCTACACGTAACATTGACTCACAGGTTAAAAAATAAATAAAACTTACGAATGTTAAGAGGAGCACAGCTTGTCCATGACTTTGTTATAGGATCAAATACATCACAATTTTTTAGTCCTTTCTGGCCATATGGATCAGAGCCACCAACAATGTATAATTTACCATTGAGAGCACACACTCCTATGTGAGTATAAAATACGGTTACATATTGATAGCTGAGTGATCATTTAAACACTGGCTATCTTAGAAGTTAGGATTACCTGCATTACAACGGTTAGTTCTCAACTCTGGTACAGGGATCCAGTCATCTATGTTTGGATCATACATCTCTCCACAACTCAAGTCATCTGAGTGGCCGTTTGATCCACCCACCACATACAGCTGGCCCTAAGTCCAAGTGAGATGAGAATTTTTACCATTCTGAAGTTATGAGGAAAAGCCTAAACACGGCGCTGTGGCTTGTAACTAGATCTCCCCCTTATGAGCTTCAGAGGCTCAGATGGGGCTCTTGGGAAGTGATGACTGGATCACAGGGGCGCTATACTTATCAGTGGATGAAGCCACTGATGAAGTTAGAGCAAAATGTAATGTTGGGAGGCAGAACCTAGTTGGAGGAGGCGGGGCACTCGGCGTGGCCTGGAGGATGTTATCTCCGCCTTCCTCCTCTCTGCTTCCCAGCCACCAGGGCTCAAGCAGTTTCTCCTCTGCCACGTGGCTCTACAGTGAGTATGGACTGAAACCTCTAGGAACTTGTGAGCAAAAATAAGCCTCTTCTCCTTAAATTTGTTTTTATCCAAGAGACGAGGAAAGTAAGACATACAGGCTGTACCTGCAACACAATGTGCTTACCATGAGTACAGCCATTTGAAATCGGGCCCTTGGTGTTCTCATGGGAGCAAGAAAGGACCAATGGTCCGTATGTGGATCATAGCATTCAACAGTTCGAAGACATTCTTCTCGGTTATAGCCACCTGGCAAAAAACCAAAAATTGATTTAAAATATTAAACTGGCCCAGGGTTTCTGGTCCAGAATGGCTCTAGTCATGTACACAATAAGGAAAAGTACCGAAACTCTTGAGGACCTGTTAACTGATGTTTTAAGAAAAAGCTGGTAAAGGTGAAAAATAACATCAGTAAGAATGAACTTACTTGTAGCTTGAAAATTACGAGAAAAAAATTTACTCAGTATAGTTTTTAAAAATTAGAAACATCCTGCTGGGGGTATTGCTCAGTAGTACAGTATTTGCCTAGCATGTTGTGAGACCCTGGGATTGATTCCCAGTAATCCAAAAAAGAAAAAAAGTCAGAAATTTGGGGCAAATTGATCTTATCAACATTCAATGATATTTATCTTTTATTTGTCTTTTTGGAACGTCATATAAGAAAGCTTATTAAGTCTTGTTCCCGGAATATGCATGCCACAGGCAAGCATTAGGAATCATTTATGGCTTTAAGCAGTTAAATACTTCTGTTCTTACCTGCAGCTATGAGCTTGCCATTCATCTCTGCTGTCCCCAGACCAGATCGTGCATACTGCATAGGAGACATGGGCTTTTCTATCAGCTCATCTGGTTGCATCTCAAAGCTTAAACTCTTGGTTAGTTTAGGAGTGCTTGTTGGTGAGCTCTGTGGGCTGTTTCGCCCATGAAGGAATATTACACAGAATATACCATCCAGCACAGCCAGGCATAGGTAAGTGTTATCTGTAAGCACAAAAGTTTCATGTTTAAGATGCAAAATTACTAACACTTTGTTTGCTGTTATGACCCTGAGTTGGGCTCCACAGTCTCCGGATCCCAGACTGGGAACAGTCTGCTACCGTTTTCCAAATTTAACTGCTTTTTTTCCTTAGTCAATTTAAAGTATTAAATTGACAGTAGTCCTTAAGCACAGACAAAAACTTGGCTAGTGTCATATACTTACTTGAAGTTTTTTCTGAAGCAACGATTTTCCACTCATGCTTAGGGCTTTGCACTGTAGCATTTGGAGAAGAGAGACATCCAGTGGAACTGCTACTTATTTGCTTATGGCCATTCTCACGTGGTGGCTTTTTCTGCAAAATCAAAAGGCAGCTACAGAAACCTAGCCAAAGACCATAGCTGGTGTACCTTTGTCCCTGAGCTATTCCACAACAGTGCCAAAAACTGAGTATCCTCCACCTATATGTGACACAGCACACTACGTTTAATACAAACCAACATCTTTCCAATGGACACAAAATAGCACACTTCCATCTGCACTCCATAATGCAACAACTATACCTACACAATTAGCCTGGTCAGAAAAAGCACACTTTAAATGATTCAAAGCACCTGTTTTAGATCAAGTATCAGAATGATACCTTAGTAAGGAGGTGGGGAGAAGGAAAACCGACCTATAGTCCACATAAACTCATATGATATCAAGTACAGAATTTCCCCAAAAGATGTTATCAATTTAAAATGGCATGAGTTAACTGACGAAGACATTTAACTCACTGTGCCCATGTAACTGTCAAAGCTACCAACTTTATGTATCCGAACCTCCATACGATGCTGGCAAAACGGGAGCAGACACAGACTTGTTGGCTCTGACTGCTCTCTCTTAAAGTTATTTTACAGGAAGGAAGTGGCAGTCACAAGAAACACCAAATGTCATTTCTTTTGGGTTGTTTTATAGGTATTAGATTGGTTTTCTAGACAAAACTACATCAAAACACAAAATGAAATAGAGCAACACAAAATGAAATACAGCAATCAGAAATGAAACCATACTAAAAGAACCAAATATTCACAAAAGAATATAAAAGAACAGAAACAAGTGGGTAAAGACACCAATTTCCAAATGATTCTAAGAAAACTACATACCATGTTCTCATGTCTGAGTTTTCTTTCATAGCTTTTTTCCAATTACATCAGCCTTTGCCACTTCTAAGGGATATGATCACAGGGAACTGGGAGAGCAGCTGGATTACCCTGACAGAAGTGCTGAACAGGTACTGTACCATCTCCAGTACTGGCCAACTCTGCTCACCTATTTATTCTGGTCCCCAAGGCCAGACCATACAGAGAAGTAAGATTTCTAATGGAAATTTTGGTGCTAGTGGAAACAAAAAGCCATGTAACAAGTAATACAGAAAAGGCTTTTGATAGTTCCTTGAAATTATTAAGGAAATAATCACTGAATTTAGGTCTGGGACACTCAGCATATATGGGAAAAGGCAGGGAACACACCCTATTGGTGGTTATCACTAAATTCCATTTAAATATTATCTAAGTATTATTGGGCATTTTATTTACATCATTTCTTTCAATCCAGTAAGAGTATGACAGACTGGGTCACAGTATGAAAGTATCAGGAGTAAAAATAAGATTAGTGCTACTTAACCTCATCTAGTATTAGGAATTACAGGATACATAGAACCTTATCCTATCCCATGGGAAAGGATTCCAAGTATCATAAATAGTGTTTACATTAGATTTTATGGCAGAACTGCTTTAATGTAGACTATTACTGACAGAAAATGAACAGAAAAGAGAAAGGTACTAACACTAAACACATCAGTGTACATATGATAGGGCTAATAGAGAAATGCCGCGTAACTCCTTTGTACATATAACCTCTACCCCCCTACATGACCTCTCAGAGGAACTGACAATTTATTCTACCTTCAAACTTTCTATTCCTACTGTAAGTAGTTTTTATTTACAACACAATTAAACTGAAATTGTGCTCCTACCTATCTAATGGCTTCTTCTCAACCTTTTTTTTTGGCGGGGTGGGGGTGGTTTCGGGAATCGAGCTCAGGACCATGTGTTTGCCAGGCAGGCAACTTGTGCCGCTGAGCTATATTGCTGGCCCTCAACCTTTTGTTCTATTCTGAAGCCTAATACACAGCTCTCATCCTTCCTACTCCATGATCCCTACTCATGACAGAGACTGGACTCATGGTAAGAGAGAATGGGATTACTACTAAATCCCATTCACTCTCGAAGGTCCCCCCCGTCTCCCCTGAACAATCAATAAGCCTACTAACTTGACGTTTGAGTCTATTTATAAAAATAGGTAAGGAATCCATCCTTTCTCCTATATGCCTTTAAATCAAGCCCTCATAGTTTACTGAAGCCCAAACTACTTGCAAGTCTGCAAATTGGTCTCACAAACTTTAATCTACCCTCCATGCCAGGTAATAAAAACAGGAAAAATCCAAGGCAATGATTTTGCAAAGTTCAGTTGAGATTCAAGTCCAGAGACTACCACCTAATAGTTAACCATTTGTTTATAATATGACCAATGAATTTACAAACCTTTGGTAAACAGCAGTAACATAATCTTTTCATTGCTTGGCTGTTGCCCAATTTTTCAAAATTATTAGTTTGTGAAATATGCCTGTTATCATCTAAATTATTCTTGGTGTCTGCAGGATAAAGTACAAGCCCCACTCGGGTAGCATTTAGCTATTCCCCCAGATTCACGACGCCTCCGCCAAGAGCAGCATCTGCGCACAAGTACTCTCCGCTACCCAATATATCTACCTGTAACTGCTACGTAAACTCCTCTAAAACTAAGACTCTCATCTGCTGCCTCTGTCAAGTTTCCCCAGCTTCTTGCCTCTTGTCTGTAACATGCCTTCCCTTTTAGGCCTTTTTAGATAACTCTTATAAGTCTGTACTGTTTTGTTCTGCAAGCAGAAACTATCTCTTGCACATCCATGTTCCCATGCTGAACACTGAGGCCTGCTGCTTATTGGGCATTCAATCTTTGATGTTGAAAAGTAATTTTAAAAAAAAATTAACTTCAAATGTTTACAGTTAAGAAAAACTCTAAATAATCAAATATAACCAAAGTTATGTTTGATTCAACTACTTCAAACCCAGAAATTTCTTAGAAAGTATTTAGCCACCAGTGCCACAGGACACCAAGGAGCTACTACCATTTATCTTCTAATTTTTAAAGGAAAATATTCCTTAACCTGGGTTAACTGAAATCACTTTATAAATATGAGGTTGAGCTAAAGGAAAAATAGAAATAGGCAGTATGACCCCATTTATATAAATTTTAAACATAGGCAAACTAAGCTATTGTGTCAGAAGTGAGGACAATGGTTTCTTCTGGGCAGTGATTAAGGAAGGGTAAGAAGGCTTCCAGGAGGCCAGAACTTTCTTCTTCATTTAGGCAGTATTTATACTGACTGGCTCACTAGATGACATTTAAAATATGTGGGACTTGGGATGTGGTTCAGCAGTAAGTATATGTCTAGCATGTGTAAGACCCTGGATTTGATCCCAGTACTGAAAAATAACAAAGATTTATATACTTTTCTGTATGCTATGTGTCCATATAGTTTATAGCTGAGATATCTGCTCTCTATTATTTGCTGAAAATGTGTCTCAACATGTATGTCTTCACTCAGTAAATGCAGAGGAAAAATCAAACTGAATTTTATAAAAGGCAAAGTAACTCAATCAACACACTGGAACTGTTTTAATTCATTTTGTTCAAGAAACATCTAGATCAAGTTGTAACATGGTTGACCACTAAGTTTACAACGTATAGTCCATATTAACTCCACCATTTCTAATTTCAAATAACGAGAGCTCAGTATTAAATCCAAAATTTCTTTCGTAGCCATCAACAATTTAAAAGAGTCCTGTATCTTTTTTCTAAATTGGGTCTTTCAGTCATGCCTGTCGCAAATACCTACTTTTCACATCCAACCAAAGCAACAATTTCTGTATTTCATCATACTGTTCTTCTCTCACTACTTGTAAATTCTAAATTATGAGGAAAAAAAAAAATCTACATGGAGTTTTCTAACTTGCTGAGTTAACTTGTTTTCATGTGGCAAAATACTAGCAGTAACTCTAAGATCTGCTTGTTTTCTCCCAAAAATGTTTCTGTCCAGTCATACCAATGAAATTCATCCACTTTCCTTTATTAAAGGAAAATTTAAGTATGCTGTAAAATTTTCCAGTCAAATTTTAACCTGAGGTTACCTCCGACTGCAATGTGTACCTGCACAAACTGAATGTGGTCATCATCACTGCCAAACACCTCAGCCTGTCCATCTAGTAGGTTCCCATCAAGCAGCTTGTGATCAGCTGAGTAGTACAAGGTTTGAACCTGCAAAACAGCAACAGAACACCCATGTGGCTACTGTCACCATGGCTACTCCACTAGTATGCAGATCACACAAAGGCCTCAAGGTAACCTCCAGTGTGCTTCTTGAGCTTCTGGACATCTTACTGTGGCAGGATCACAAAGTAAAGAAAAATATGTCATGGTGGTAAAAATTTAAAAAGCAAAACCAAAAAAGCCCAAAGTCAACTGCAAAATCTTCTAATACTGGCTGAAGAATCCTTGGCTTGACTGGCTTGAAAGAAATCTTCATCTTTTCATAGCTTCTATTATGTAACATTAAGAAAAAAAAGCACTAGTACAAATATATACACTTAAAAAATATATTTACAATGAAATACTGAATAGTTTACACCCTTTGAAGATAAACGGTCTGATTTGCATTAACATACTTCTCTCCTATAGACAATGTCAAGAAAAACAAATGCAAAAACTCAAGCAAGCTGTAGAGTTATCTTCCTTCACAGATGCAAACACATGGCTAATGCATCTGATTTTCAAGTGGGAAATCATCGACTATAAAGATCTGTTATAAAGATCTATTAGTCCTTTTAGGACATAATGATGACAGTGTTTTTATATGCCTAACAGACTTGGAAAGCCTTAAGGGATTCTGAAAGGCATAGTATAGAGTAATAAGACTATGCCACTGCTGCACCTGCATGATTTTAATTCCCACCATTTGGCCATCAATACTTTTTCATGTATATTTTCTAAAAGGAGCCCAAGTTAATCGAGTGACTGTATGAACAACACCATTGAAAAACACAAAGCTTTTAAGAGAAGAATCCTGTAAGGAGTAAACACCATTAAATCATCATCGTTCTCTGCCCACAGCGGATTTTTCTTAGGAGAACTGGGGCAGGACTGCTGCTTCTTTACGTGTCAATACACTTGAGGTTTCTTCTTGTTTCTTCAGTCTTGGGTATCCTAGTTTTGTTAATAAACCTATGGGGAGATAAACCAATGGGGAGGAACAACCATTAGAAGCTTTACCTACTTGTCAAATTTAAAGCAAAAACCTGTGAAGAAAAATTAAGAATCTACAGAAAATTTCAGTACCACCTCCCATTTCTAAAGCAAATTACATGCTACTTTAAAGAAAGTTAACAGCACATTATAAGCAAAGAAATAAAAAAAAGAAAAGCAGAAGACCAAACTGAACAGTTCATTCAGCTCACCTGGACACCCCCCCTGTTTCTCAGCTTAGGGGTACCTATAGCAAAATTTAAATTCTTTAGGGTCATGGTTATAAAATAAAAATGAAAGGGAATCCTTCATGTTAACAGCAAAATAATATTTAAGAATTGTTGAGTCCCATTTACTTTAAAACTAACCTCTTCCATCAGCTCTTCCAGACTGTCTCCATTCTCCCAGATGCTACGCTGTACCCAGTTGATTACCTTTGTATACAATTTGCCATTGCTGGGCAAGCAAACATTATCTTCGAGCATTACCTCCAACTAGGGTTAGGAAAAACAGTGAGACATTAATCAGTACTGAAATTCAAGTTCTTAGCTTATTCTCAATTTCAAAATAAAGCGGTCACAGATGCCAAATTGTATTCCATACGTTTACCTTAATTTTCAAAGCCAGTAATCAAAAACAAAAAAGTAAACAAACTGGTAGGCACCCATCACACTGCTATTAACAATAATATATTATTTTTGTGAACCTTACTCACTTGTTTAATCCATGGACAGAGTCTGTGCTTGGAACTAGGAAGTATAAAATCCATTTATATGTTGTACTCCTTACCTTTAGTCGTGGAAGCTTGAGAAATTCTTCCTCTTCTGAAATTTGTAACAAATGTTCCTGAATATAGGCATCAACCTTGTTCAACAAACGGGCGTCTCCCATACAACTTGCAAAATTTCGGTAAGAGATGCAGCTGGTAACATCCATTCTAGATAGTAAATAATCACCACAAACCTTGGAAAGAAACATATAAGTGCCAATAATCACATATATTTTATCCAAAAAGATTAATTAAAAAATCATTGTCTTAACACAACCAATTTAACAGTGGAAACAACACATATACAAATGACAAACATCACAGAATGCCATCCAAATAAGTTGTTACAGGAGCTCTGTGACACAGTGACATACTGCATATGTTTGGATAAGTATTTTCAACTAGAATATTAGGTTAAGTTTCATGAAAGGTAGTACCTAAACTGGGCTCTATGGAAAAGATGACACTGATGTTGAGTACAGACCAGAAGGAAGAAGAATGTTGCCAATCCAGTTTGGCTGCGCAAAAGGTAAAACTAGTGAAGCGCCAGACTGTCACAACTATTCTGTCACTGCAGCTGGAAAGCAGCCACAGATTGTATATAAATGAATGCATATGGCTGTATTTCAATAAAACTTTATTAAACAGGCAACTGGCCTATGGCCTGTACTGACTGACTTCTTGCATTAGAAAAATTAAATGCCTTTTCTCATATGAATTATTAAGCACTTCTCACTGGCATTAAATTCTAGACAGAATACTCTGAAATAAGAACCAAGATGTATAGGAGAAGAGACACCTGAGAAGCTGAATATTTTAATTCACACTATCAGAACAGGCACCATGCTACAGAAGTCTTTCAAAAAAGCAAGACATTATTATCTGACAAGAAGTATGATTTTACTTATTATAGCCAAACATTTAAAACAACACATGCAGTTCTCTGGCAGGGAAGAGGGGAACATTTTTAAGTCCTTAGGACTAAAAAATACTTTGGGAGAATTTCTGCATTCTTTAAATTTCCTCAGAAACAAAAGCCCTTTTATATTATTTTTGATACCATACCTGCTTGACTCGGTCCATCTTCAGCTTTTTGGCTGCAGAATAAACATCTTTCACTAATTCCTTATCAGCTTTCAACCTATAAAAAAAGTTTTTATTTTTATACCAAGACCTTAAAATACAGATACCTAAATGTAAGGGAGATCTGCAACTTCATGATATTCCCTAACTATATGATTTACTTTACAGTACTTACTGAGCAGTATAGGCATAATTCAGCAAGACTTCAACAGCTTCTGGATTGAGATCATCAAATTTAACATGAGAAACTCCATGAGGATCACTATCACTATTAAAGATTTCAAATAAATAGGGACTGCAGCAAGCCAGCACTGCTCTGTGTGCTAACATCTCATGGCCACAGACCTGAAATTATACAAAAATAAAATCAGAAGTATTGTTGGCTATGTAGTTCTGGACCACAACAGCCTTTTTTACTTTAGATTTCTAGATAAAGGATTCTCTTAAAAAGCCATTTCAAAATGGGCGCAGTGAGGCACATCTATAATTCCAGCACTCGCGATGCTGAGGCAGAAAGAATGTTTTGAGTTCAAGACAAGCCTGGGCTACAAAGTGAGTTTAAGGCCAGTCTGAACTGCAGAGTGAGACCCTGTCTCAAACCAAACCAAACCAAACCAAACCAAACCAAACCAAACCAAACCACCAGGGAAAAAAAAGCCATTTCATTTAATGGCTGTGGTGGTGGTGGTAGGAAAGGGAATCCAAGAACTTGTAACTTTTAGTAACTGATTTTCTTAGTAATGAAAGATCAAATTCTGTAAATTTCCAATTAAAATCTAAATACCTGAAGTCGAACATCACAGAACTGGCCACTTTTCCTCAGGGCATTTAATTTGGCAACAGAAGACTCAATAAAATTTTCATCTTCAAACATCAAATATCCATTGGGAATCATTTTTCCTTATAAATCTGGCTAAACAGCAGAAAGAGAGCTGAGTTTATTTTACTTGTAAATAGTGGTTTTTACAATTACAAGCGGTAACATATTTTCACATTTTATCCTATCAGTAACACAAAAATTTTATCAAATAAAAACTTGGTGGAAGGTGCTCCATGCCCACGTCTCTGAAGTCTCTAAGGATTCATATAATGGTGGGTCCTTCAATAACATCTCTCACTAGCTCCTTATTAGATTTCAACCTATAAAAAACCAGGAACCATGTTTCCATGCCTATTACACACTCACTCTGAAGGGAAGGAAATAAAACTCCATCCTGCCCAGACCCATGTAATGAGCAACCTAAAAAACCTACAAGGAATGAGGCAGCCATCATGCATACATTTATTTCCTTAGATTTGGGCTAGTGTCATTCCTTTAACTCACAGGTGAGAAAACTGTAAGATATTCTAAATGTGTACTTCTTTAAGTTTCCTTAAAGGGCCCTTCATCTGACTCTATTCCTCAAGTAAAATCAAAATTTAAACATGGAAAATTATTTAAATTCTTCCTCCCTTGCCTAAAGCACACACTTAGAAATCTAAGTCTTGGCACTGTATCTATCCAATGACTTTTACAAATATTTTTAAGTAGATAAGGCAAGATTTAAAGATGAAATTAGCTGGGTGCGGTGGAGTATGCCTGTAAATTCAGCTACTTGGGAGACCAAGACAGATGCATTTCAAGTTCAAAGCCAGCCTGGGCAACTTAGGAAGACCCTGTCTCAAAATAAAGAGCTAGGGATATAGCTCAGTGTGAAGGCCCTGGGTTCAAGGCCCAGAAAGGGGTAGGGGGAACGGAACAAAACCAAACCAAACTACAGCAACAGGAGATACCAGTTAAATACTTTTCAAATGGTTACTGACTTTCCCGCCTTTTTTAAACCGGAAAGACTGCTACTGTTTCCAGCAGTCTTCAGAAAAACAATGTCTCAACGGTGGACAGGGACCTGAATATTCACTTACCTTACTATAACTGGTGAGAAATGTATTACTGGGGATTCAAATAATCCAAAAACAAAGGAGTGTTGAAATGAAGCGCTTGGTCAAGGTATGAAGACAGCTGGCTGAAGTGAAGGTAGATGTATCTTAAGCTCTAATGTTGGTACCAAAACTCAGGCTTGAAAATGATGTAATCAAGTCCTTAAAAGCTATAGACATGAATTTCTTCTGTGATAATGATGCACTATAATCTGCAATGATCAAAAATTTAGGTTAGATTTAGAATGATCACAGTTTGTCACTGGCCTTAAGTAGAGCAGATCAAGCAAAAAGAGTCCTGATCTTTAAAGAGATTCTGAAATAAATAGCAAAAATATTCACATTACATAAAAAATTAACAAAAATATAATTATACATACACACTTTTCACTGAACTACCAACTACTTAGATGACCCTAAAAATCCCCACCGGGCAATAGCTAATTACTTATTAAAGAATTAAAGAATATAAATACCAATTGACTCTAATATTCTCTTAGATCCCAAGTAATATAAAAACATGACACGCCTGTTTTTAGGCACAGCAAACACCTTTGGGCATGATTCTCAAACATGTATACACTATTTCCCAAAATTTGCTGTGTGTTGCAGCCTCCGTACTTTTATGTAAGTTGCTCTACCTAAAACAGCCTTAATCCAACCTCTACCAGATGAAACCTTACAGCCGTAGCATGCAACGTCCCTACATCTGAAAGTAATTTTACACCATTTCTCATATACAGAAACTGTCTCTAAAAGGTAGGTATAATTTTCTTGCTTGTCTATTCTATGTGCTGTTTACTTCTGTTTACCTGCTCCCCCTCCTGAACTCTAAGTCCATGAAGACAAAGATTCTCTTGTTCATATTTTATATTCTTCATCCCATCTTTCCCAACACAACTAGCTTAAAACTTGAATACAGAGATTAGTAATTTGTTTAACTAAACAAATGAGAAAGGTAATCATGCTTATGATCTGCATGATCTTTTTTTGCATATGCAAAATATCAATGAAATAATTCTAGTTCAAAATAAATCTCCAAGGAACACAGTCCCTCTCTCTATCCCCCCATTTGCATATATATCAATTATTACTGTCAAATTTACATGGCACTTTAAAAAAAAAATCACCTGAACTGATACTAAATCACTGTCTAATTTGGGGAATTAGAACTAATAAATTATGTGAAATACATGCATAGGTATGGACATCTTAAAATAACCTTGATTGCTTTATATAACTATCAAACCTACAAGTCTATCAATTATGCCAAGGCGATTAATCACTTGCCCCAAGACTCCACTGAAGGCCAGTCCAATTCTCACTCAACAAAGTACAGTGAAGGTTTAACATGTGTACAATCTGTAAGGCAGCTGTATCCCATATGCCCTAACTGGTTTCTCCATAACTGAGGCTTCATTTCAAGGAAACTCCAGTATTCCAACTCAGGATTCTTTATGATGCTATCATGTAATTTTCATTTCCTCTGCTTTATACTTTCATTGAGGTTGATCAATCCTGCTTTTTCTTAAGAAACTAGCTTTAACAAACAAATACTTTCCAAATACATGGGCCAGGAACACAGCTCAGCAGCACTGCACCTACCTGGCAAGTACAAGGTCCTGAGTTCGATTTCCAGCACACACATCCCCCTTAACCAAATACATACTATATACACAGTATACTATTCTACAGAAACCTATAAACATTTTCAGGCAAGACCTGGCTCAAACTAAGAAAGTCTTTTATGTATCATACGCACTGGACTGGCCAACCCACAGGCGTACTACTGGGCAACTCTTCTTCAGTTTTATAAAATATACTTAAAGCATGGGTGAGGGGAACCCCCATGCAAACTACTTTTATATGATTAAAATGCATCATCTGGGCCACTATGTTCTCTCTTGCATGGTGGCCCACCCTCATGCTGTAGGGTGTATGTCTTTTCCTATTTTTACTTGGCCCAAACTTGCTCTGAAGAGCCTGCTTCATTTCTTATCATTAATAAAATTTTGCTACCAACAAATAAATAAATTTTAAAAATGCATTATCTAAAAAAGTAAAACACTATAATGTGAAAGTTTACAAATATTTTAAAAGTTGACCAATTTTATTCAGTATTTATCGCAAATCTGTCTTGATCTAACCAAGAATAAAATACCACCTATTTATTATTTGACAAGTAGATGTTCTACCTTAAATTTATTTTGAAAAGAAAACATTATTTAAAATTACTGTAGTAACTTATATCTTATGAAGAATTTTTGGAGCTGAGTGTGGTGGTGCACATCTGTAATCCCAGCACTGGAGAGGGTGAGGCAGTTCAAGACCAGCCTGGGCTACAAAGTGAGTTCATGGCCAGCCTGAATTGCATGGAGAAACCTTGTCTCCAAAAGACAAAAAAAAAAAAAAAAAAAAATTTTTTTTTAGGGGGAAGTAACTCTTGGGATATGAAGGTGTACAATACTGTTATGAGTTCTACAATAGTCTTGTTATATTTAGTACTTGACTTTCTGCATATCACTCTTAACACAAACCTTATCTCTTTAATATCTACTGATCAGTACAGCCTTAGTTGGTTTTAAAAGCTAGTCCACAGGTGGATGACATTTAAGTTAATGCAAACTTGTTTTTGGAAGTTCATACTAATTTTCATTATTGCAAGGTTAGGCAAATCAAGAGCTTTAAACCACTCCCAAAATTCACAAATCTTACTTAGTCTATGAAGCTCAAGCAAGATTATTAGAGGAATTAAAAACAGGGAGAAGTGTTTTTCTTTGAAAAGCCAAGCCAGATGCCCAAGCATCCCAGAGTCATGTAAGAGTATGAAACTTGTTTGGTAAAGTATACTTTCAGTTAATCTACTTAAAATTAAAACTGAGGTGAAATATGATATATGATAAATATTTCAATTCTCTAGCACGTCAATGTAAGAAAAAGACAATTTTGTAAGTAATTAAAGTACGTTAGTAATATTCTGAAATTTACAACTTACCATAGCCCACAGAGATTACTGTAAGTGAAAAATGCAATTCAACAAGTCTTAAAAGAGTTGTGAAAAGGTACACATCCTATGTCCCATTCCCCAAATTCTTCGCTGGCCTTAACAGTAAGAAAAAACATCAAATACTCAAGGCTGGGGGTGTAGTTCTCAGTGGCAGAGAATTTCAATTTAGTACACGAAAGGCCCTATGTTTGATCCAAGCAACAACAAAAATAAGTAAATAAAAATTCAAAGCATTCTTAAAACTCAAGACAAATTAAAAATATTTAAACTTGGTGATTTTTTGAGAGTAACCACAGACAAAGTAAATGGACTGATCTTTTTCCTTTGCAGTGCACTGAGGATGAGATCCAGGGCCTTATGCATGCTGAGAATGCTCCAAGTTCACTTTTTAGAATCCGAAGTTACGACTCGCCAACGTCACCTTTACAAACCACTATCAATCATCAATCCAAATCAAAACTCACCCGAACTCACTTGTTCCACTTTTAATCTCATAGTTTTGTGATTTTTTCATTACAACATGAACATTTGTGGCACCAAACATATGGCAGGCACAACTGGGACGGAATGCTTATAACAATGGAGTTAAGTCAATTTCCCAGCCTTGAACACTTCACACACCAGACAAGGTGAGAGAAACTGTACAGTGAAAATGGCTCACACAAAAGACAAAAGAAGGTATGACAGTGCATATATTTCAGAAACTGTAGCTATTTCGATAAATTGTAGACTACAGGAGGTACATAATAGTGAAAGCAGAAGCAAGAAATTAAGCCTAATATTTAAACAGTGCTATGTATGAGACCAGGTAAAGGATTTAAGCTGGGAAGAGCATACTGCAGCAGAAAACGGTTGGAGGGGGGAGTTGGTCCAGGGGAATGAGTAAAAACACGGACACAGGTTAATTCTTTAAAGATCCTGTATGCCCAGGATTAGTCCTTAATAACTTAGGCAGTGGGGACCTAAGATAGTTTAGTTAGGATACTGCAGTATCATTACCAAAATCAACTTTAAAAAAAACCCCAAAGAAATCCAGGAATGAAAGAGGAAAAGAACTGGTTTGGAGAGTTTGATGCTGAGGTACCTTTTGCACACTCAGTTTGAAAATACTGACCTCAGTATAGATTTAAAAACATTTACAAGCGGTAACTGGCGTGTACAACTACACATTTTCTGTGGTTCTAACAAATCCCAGAAATCGTTTCTCACTCATAATACATGACTTTACATCCTCTAGCACAACATAAGGTGGATCCCCAACCTTGAAGATTTCCTATATGGCGGATTTAACAGTACACTCAATACTGCTAACAAGCTCATGACTTTTCAGAGTTACCTCACCTGAATATCAATGATTAAAATATTTCTCTAATAGGAAATTTTTGTTTTGTTTTGTTTTTCTCCGGTACCGGGAACCGAACTCACGACCTTGCGCTTGCCAGGCAGGCGCTTTGCCGCTGAGCTAAATCCCCAGCCCATAATAGGAAAATTTTAAATTTAAAGACTTACCACAAAACCACACTGAATTGCCATCTAAAGTACCCAAGCAAAAAAAACCCAACTCCACTTTCAAAAAGTAGCTAAAAAGACACTAATTTAAAACTAAGACTAAAACCTAAAATGCTTTCTTGGGGGATGAGAATAAAAAGAACTACAAATTAAGACAAAAGTTAAAGAAATTAATATCTATGAAAACACTTTCACCAATTAAGAAACTACAGATAAAAACCATTCCAGGTCTCTCTGGTCAGTCAAATCCAGTTCACCCTTAGCTACCAAAGTATAAAGCCTGTGACAAGCAACTTGCTAGGCGGAAATAAGTAACACTACTCTGAATCCAATTCTAAAGCCCGCGTTTACACCACGTCCAGGTTTTACAAACTCCCTCAGCATCCTTAAGGCAGAAGTTTCAGTAGGACTCAGGCTAAAACCATTCAGTAGCTTTCTTAAATCAACCATTGGTGCTATTATTTCAAAAAACCGCTGCGACAGTCCATGCTACACTTGTTTAAATGTTAGGCGTAATACTAGGCTTCCAGGGTTAACATTTACTATTAAACAGGAGACCATCTGCCCAAGAACTCAAAGAACAAGTTGATGCCGGAGTATTCTGACCTCCATCGCTGACAACAGACATCAGGCAACAAAAACGCCACCTTTAGGACATCCGAAATGTCACCTGTCTAAAACCACTTCTCTAGTACGTCTCTGGGAAAGAACAATTGTACTTCTAAAGCATTCGGGTTCAAACTTCCCTAAGTTCAACCTTCGGTCTGATGCTGCCTGATATCGTCCTAGCAAGAGCTTAGGTCCACAGACCTTTTGCAAAAAGCGTGAAAGGACAAAAAATATAAAAGAGCAAACCTTTCCACCTATTTCTTTCGTAAAACAGAGAGTGGTCAGCGCCCCGGAGTGCCAGGCTGACCCCCAGGCCTTCCTCCCCGCGCCGCGCGGCCGCGAGCCCGGCGCCGCACACCCCCGCCCGGGATTGGCCGGGCCCGCAGTCACTCAGCGCCGATACGTCAGGGCAGCCACTCCCAAGCTCCGCCCGCCCCCTTCTCCCCGCGCTTGGCAAGAAGAGCGGGCAACGTGGAGCGGGAACAAAGGACCCCGCGGCCCATGGCGGTGGGGGACTCGGTGCCAGCCCCCTCCGCGCCGGCGTGACCGAGGCGCCGCGGGCCGGGCTCGGCGTCCACACGAGCAGGGCCTCAGGGGGCTCCGCCGCGGAGCGCTCAGACCCCACGCCAGGCGTCCGCGCCTGACAGGAGGACGGCGCTGCCCGCGCCCCCCTTCCGGTCGGTCCACCCGCCGCGCGCCCTGCCCCAGGGCCCACGGAGCCCGCGAGCGAAGGCGCGCTCCTCCCGCCCGCCACGCCGCCCCGGCTCAGATCAGGGTCTCGGGCCTCCACGCCGGCCCTCGGCTGCCATCGCGACCCGGCAACCATGGCAGCGCCCGGCGCGCCAGCGTCAGCGCTCCCACCTCCTACCATCTTCCCGGCCGCCCGCCCGCGCCATCCCCTCGGCTCGGGTCCCAGCCGCGGTCTCGCCCTCCGCCGTCCATTACCTGGTTCATCTCTGAAGAGATGGAAAACCTCATCTCTAGAGCTTCGATGGGGAGCAGCAGGAAGCGGGCGGGAATCAGCCCAAAGAAAAGCGCCTCGAGGCGGCGGAGGGGGGCAGCGACGCAGCAGGGAGGACGAGCGGCCCGTCCGCGGAGGCTGCGGCGCCGCCGAGCACTGGCGCGAGCTCTCCCTCGATCGCACAGGCGCGCCGAAGCAGCCGGCCGATAAAGGCGCCCGCCACCCGCCGACCGACCGACCTCCGCGCGCGTCCCGGAGACACTGCCGCCTCCCGCGCTCCCGCACCGCCGCGCACGTCACCACGTGCGGCGCCGCCGCCAACGCCTCCCGGCCGCTTCCGGCCCTGATCCCTCCGCGAATCACGGGCGAGCTCCAGAAAGATCCAGCGCGAGGCCCCGCCCCCGCAGGCCCCGCGCCCGCCCGCCCGCCCTTCTCGTTCGCGGGCTGGAGCTCCTTCCTTCACAGCTCAACTAGGTCAGCGCAAGGTGATCCCGGGAGGGAGGCGTCGCTGCGGCTGCGCGCGCCTCCTCGTATCTGTCGCGCGGTCGTTCCTTCTGTCCCTTCCTCGCCCCGCACCCTCACTTCGCCCTTTCAGACTTGCCGGGAACTGGTTACCTCCTGCAGCCGTCACCTGTTCGGTGTTTCTTTCCGGGCGCTATAGTCCAGGAGGTCAGACTTGGGCGATTAGATTTCTCGGCGTCAGGCTGACTTCTAGACAACCGCCCTGGACCGGAGCTGCCCGCAGTGAACCTGAGTAGTCGTGGCTGCAGCCCTTACCTTTGGGGTGGAGGGGAGTGGAGCCAGTGAGGAAGCAGAGGCACTTGGAGAGGTGTTGAGCAAACCCCTCGTTTGGCCTGGTGTAGGTGAGCAGATTCAGTAACTTGGAAGAAACAATTGGAGAAGCATCATCAGACCCACGTTGCCATAAAAGCCAATTTATTTCTACTTTATGTCCTCAGGATTTTTCCTTCCAAAAACGCTGGGGCGGTTCTTTACTGGTTCAGTTCTCTTTCAGAGAAAAAACAAAGTCGCTGTGAGAATTTATAGTTTCTGGCCTAACACCCTGAGGCCTTTTAGACAAGGAACCAATCTTAAATCTACACTCCACCACCTTGTCCCCAGGAGCACATCTGTTGAGGTCAAACGTGGTTTAAACTGGGCTCTGGCAGCAATTGCTAGTGACTCTGAAAGGCAGTTCGGAAAGTTTCCTTCGTTGAAGGTGAGGGGATTTGGTGAGATTCTATCCAATACATAGAAGTTACATCCAAATTCGAATTTGGTGGTCTCTGAGATTAATGGCCTGTTAATTTCTGGAGACTTGTGGAAGGCAGTCTGGACCTAATCTTGTTTGTATCTGATCAGTCAGCTTAATTTGTAGACATTTCTAGTTTTGCCAGTGGTTCCTACCATTCTTGATTACTAGCTACCTAATTATGCTTATGAGGGTAGGAAAAAATAATTTATGGCGCCTTCAGCTGCAATAGAACTTTACAACTTTTTATTATAAAACCTTGGAGCAAGGAGACTTCCTTTTTTTGTTGTTTTCAGTTAAAAGATGAAACAGGAACTAAAATGTCAGTATGATTTTTGTATCTTTCTTAAGGAGAAAAGACCGACCTTAATCATTAGGCTTTTGTCTTGTTCTTAGTAATAGACATCGGTGTTCACTTTTATTGCAAATAAAACTATTGAGTTTTATGCTTTTTTAATACTTTAGACTTCATCCTTGCACTGAGAGGATATGAACTGCCCACTTGGGGTGGACACATGACTGTGTGGCCTGTTGGACACATGATCCCACTTGCTGTACTCTAAATAGTGCCTTTGTGACCTGAAACAGTCAACACTTTTCTTAAAGCTACAGTATAATCAGACTCAAAGAATTTTTTTGCCTTTGCATGTTTCCTTCTGTATGAATGATGGCATAGTGGATGCACTGTTTTTATCTTTGAGGCAACTCAGTCTACCCACTTACTGTGTAATATCTACTAAACTTGAAAATGGAACACAAGGAATAATTTCAGTCTTGGGAAGTAACAAAGTATAAGGCATTACACTGGGATTAGGGTTATAGTTCAGTGGTAGAGTTGTTGCTTACCCCAGGCCCCCAAAAGAAAAAGATTTTGCTTTAAATACTTAAATTAGGATATCTTTGGAGAGTGCTTAATAAAAATGAAAAATATTACTTTCTTGAGTACCTATTTTGTAGCAGTCCCTAGGAAAGAGAAATTAGGAATTGGCTCCCATCTGAGATTGTTTCATTATTCTCACTGACCCTGCTTCATGTATTTTCCCAATACACACTGACTCTGGTTTTGTTTATGCTCCAGTATTTATTTCCTAGGGCTGCTGTTTCGAAGTATCACAAACTAACTGTCTTAAACTACAGCAATTTGTTATCTCACAGTTGTGGAGGCCAAAAGTCTGAGATCAAAATGTCTCTCAGGGCCATGCTCTCCCTGCAGCACAAAGGAAGGCCTATTCAGGCATTTCTCCTACATTGGGGACTTCCTTGGCTCATGGCAGCATGATTCCAATCTATGTGGTGTTTTCCCTGAGTGCTTGTCTGTTTGATATTTTCCCTTTTTTCCCATCAGTCATACTGGAGCAGGGACCCACTCTTCTCCACTATGACTTCATTTTAACTAAATCTCCAGCTATTCTTTTTTCCAAATGAGGTCACATTTTGTGGCACTGGGAATTAATGGGTTCAACATGTGAGTCTATGATGTACAATTTAACCCATAACACGTGTATCTGTCAAATATGGTTACTGACTACATTTGTCAGAATCACCTGGATATTTGTGTTAGACTCTAGACAAGTAATTTTCAAAGAAAGGAAGTTATTTTCCCCAAAGGAATGTTTGTCAGTGCCTGGAAACAGCTAGGGGAGAGGTGCTATGCCTATCTAGTGGGCCCGAAGTGCTTCTAAACGTGCTGCACACTTCGATGTACAGGAGTGTCTTACAATGAAAAATGATCCCATGTAAAATATCAGCAGTGCCAAACATGCCCTTAGGCTAGGTCAGAATCTCCTGGAAAGGAGGCTAGAAATCTACATTTTGACAAGGACGCTAGCGACTTGCACCTGCACTTAAGTTTGAGAAATCAGATATAAAAGCTCTGGACAGAGGGACATGTTCCATTTCTCCCCAGATATTAGTCACCTGTCTTATTTACTAGCTGTGCTAATGATAATTAATGGATTTAATTAAATATGACTACTTAGCAATTTAGGAACTTTATGTCATAGTCTTAACATTAATATTAAGTTGGAATCTTGTTTACATTTTGAAACGTCTGTGCCACTTTACAGTATTTTTGGTCAGTTGTCTACATTTTCTGCATGTGCTTGGTCTAATGAAAACTGTTGCCATCCCTTGTCTCCTCTAATGCTGCCTGTTTCTCCAACACTGAGTGACAGCCTTGTCTGTTTCACATATTTCTTTCATTCCTTGCAGTTAATGCTGAGGCAGTAGGAATTATGGGTGTCAACATATGACTCTGGGATATACAATTCAACTCAGTGTCTTTCTGTCTTTTGGCACTTGAAAGCATCTTTATGGTACATTAATAGTCTTAAGAGTAGAAGCTAGAAGATGGCGGTGTCATAAAAGGTACAAGATACCTACGGAAAAAAGTCTTGAAAGTTTCCAGACTCACTAAAGTAGATCACTAGAAATTGTTATGTATTTTGATGCATAATAAATTGAGAACTTGATATCTCTCTAGAAAAATTGTGATCTTTTAAGTAAATATTCCCCATTGAAGAAAATTGTGGTGGATTAACTAATGGTCAATTTGTAACACCCAGCTAGACTGAAGCACCCTGGTGCTGGATGTGGAAGACCCACCTCCTGATTGTTGCCAACATCATGAAAGGAGAACTGGAGGGGAGGGTGGTGTGCTGCTGTCCTCCTGGAGAAGCTTGCCACGCTGGTTTTCCTGATGGGAACTTAGCTAATTCTCATTGTCAGAGGAGCTTGGGTCCTCACTGCCCCTGAGGATGGCTGCCCTTCTTTCCAGGGGAGGTCTGGTCCTTACTTGGAGTGCTGCTTCCTGGTTCCAGCGCAGATCCCTCAGCCTGCTGGCACAGATACTTCATCCCGCTGGTACAGACTTTCTAGTTTCCACCCCTGACCTTTGGGCCTTTCCAGTGCAGATCCTTGATATAGACTTGCATGAGACATTGTCATGGGCTGTAGGCCAGTTGGATTTGAGGGTGTTGGCATGGACTGTAGGTCTTCAGCTGGACGCGTGCAGGATATTGCCGTGAAATCCAGGCCCTCAACTGGATTCTTTGGGTCTCTAGTGTATGGATCTTTCATCTGTACTCTTCTGCATTTGACTCTTTGGGTGAATATTATAAAATAATTCTGTAAAGTATGTGTCCTGTATTAAATCTATTCTTGTGTTAAACCCTGACAAAAGTCTTCCATCTTCCTGGTAGGACTTCAATAAACTTTTAATCCAAATAATGCAAACTGTTCAGTTTAGTTTGGTTTTTATTTATTTATGTTTTTAAAGACAGAGTCTCACTATGTATGGCAGGCTGACCTTGAACTCACTCTATAGCCCAGGCTGACGTTGAGCTCATGGCAGTCTTCTTCCCTCAGCCTCCCAAGTACTGGGGTTACAGGCGTGTGCCACCACACTTGGCTATACTTTATTTTTTTTAAATCTAAAGATTATAAAATTGTTCAAATACATACCTCAAAATACTTCAGTCCTGAATTATCTTTGTTGTCTATTTCATTGTTTAAGGAGATTAATGATTATCTTTCATCTGTTTTCTAAAATCATAACTGCTAAAGGTTTTGAGACCAACTCAAGCTTCCTCTTCGAGCAGTGAAGATTCTTTAATAGTGCTCATGTCATTCAGATATTCTTCCTGTGACATCGATAACCTTCAAGCCAGTTGTATATTTGACATGTGGCTACAACTGTTATCCATTCAAGTCTTCATCTTTAATGTG